CGCTCATTACGAAGAAGAAGTTTCGACAAAACATATATGAAGAAGTTTCGACAAAACATATATGAAGAAGTCTTGACAAAACATATATGAAGAAGTCTTGACAAAACATTTACGATGAAATCATGAAAATTCATGAAAATTCACGAGGGTAGAAAAGAGGTTAGAAAACAGGTTATATCTAACCTTCTACCCTAAAATATATTTTTGCTGAAAAATGACCAAATTTCATGAATTTCCTTAAGATAGAAAAAATAAAGTAATTTTTTTATATTTATTTTTTTATTTTGTATGTAAGGACAGATATGACAACAACAGAGAACACAACAACAGTTATAGTCCATGAAGCTATAAATGAAGAATATGAGTGGGTTCAGTTTAACAAACAACTCCGTCTCATTCGTTCGGTCAAAGATGACATGTACCAAATGCAAAGTATTTTGACAGCATGTGCTACACCAGATACTAAGAAACCACAAGACTGGTTTGAATTAAATAGCACTCATGAACTTTTGAGTGAGTTCGAACATGTAGAACTTAAAAAGATGTACCAAGACAGACAAAACTTACCATCGTATCTAAAAGGTATATATGTTCATAAGTTCCTAGTTAGTTCAATAGCAATGTGGGCTTCACCTCGCTATGCTTGGTATATTTACAGACTTCTTGACGAAGTTGCTGAAAAATACATGTAAAGCGTTTATTTTTGGTCTTTTATAAAGTAAGAAAATAACGTAATTTTATTTTTTTTATTTTTTTATTTTGTATGTAAAGACAGATATGTCAACAACAGAGAACACAACAACAGTTATAGTCCATGAAGCCATAAATGAAGAATACGAGTACATACAGTATAACAAACAGTTACGTCTCATTCGTTCAGTCAAAGATGACATGTACCAAATGCAAAGTATTTTGAATACTCTTCGTTCTACAAAGCAAGCACGTCATTGGTTTGAAAACCAACAGACAAAAGAACTTTTAGAAGAATTTCCTCATATGTTTGCGAGTGGTAGAAAACCGCGGAACGAGATTCCGTACGAAAATCGTAAAAATTTGCCAAATAGTTTGAAAGGATATTATGTTCATAGACTTCTTGTAAATGCTGTTGCAATGTGGGCTTCGCCTCGTTACGCTTGTTATATTTTCAAACATCTAGATGAAATTCATAGACAAGAACGTGAAGAGATGGAAAAGAAACTTCAAGCAAAAGATGAAGTCATTGAAGCAAAAGACAAAAACATACAGAAAAGAATACCACGTTCGGTACCAAAAGGAAAGGAAAAGAACTATAAGTATATGATTTACACTGAAGAGATGGAAAATGAAGAAGACAGAGATATGGTTATGTTGCATTTAGTCAGAAGAAACAACAAAAGCTTTTACGACCTTGCTAAGATTTACAAATCTGACAGAAATTGGTTCTATCGCGAAAACTTACCGATTTCAATGACACCGAATGAAGATGTTAAACAGATAGTTCAAGATACGTTACCTCAAACACACTATGATATGAAAGGTTGTACAATACTTACCTTCAAAGAAGATTTGCCATTGTTAAAGGAAAAAATAACAGAGTATTTTGACAACTTCAAACAAGCAGAGTAAATGAACTCTTTATTTTTCAAGCTTGACCTTTACATTCTGCCTGAGGAAGTCTTTAACAAGCTCGTTAATTTCAATTAGATAAATTGCTTCGTCTAGGGGGTCAAGCTCCATACTGAGTCAGTACAATATTGTACTTTTTCAAGACAATGTTGTACTTTTTCAAGACAATGTTGTACTTTTTCAAGACAATATTGTACTTTTTCAGAACAATGTTGTACTTTTTCAGAACAATGTTGTATAAATTCAGTACAATGTCTCTCAAATTTGAGTACAGCTGTACTTTTTCAGAACAAGTCTTGTACTTTTTCAGAACAAGTCTTGTACTTTTTCAGAACAAGTCTTGTACTTTTTCAAGACAATGTTGTACTTTTTCAAGACAATGTTGTACTTTTTCAAGACAATATTGTACTTTTTCAGAACAATGTTGTATAAATTCAGTACAATGTCTCTCAAATTTGAGTACAGCTGTACTTTTTCAGAACAAGTCTTGTACTTTTTCAGAACAAGTCTTGAACTTTTTCAGAACAATGTTGTACTTTTTCAGAACAATGTTGTACTTTTTCAAGACAATGTTGTACTTTTTCAAGACAATGTTGTACTTTTTCAAGACAATATTGTACTTTTTCAGAACAAAGACGGTTAAGACACAAACGAATGTCCGACGTACCACCAACCGAGTCCATTCCACAGCCAGAAGAACCGACAGCCCCAGCACCACAACAGACTTACTAAGACTAAACTCTTTATTTTTCAAGCTTGACTTTTTACAATTTGAACTTTGTTCGCGTAGATGTGAATTCTGAAAGAAGTATGAGGGTCTTGTATGACTTTGTACTTCTCCCATAGTTCATGTCTGTCAAACTTACCTGCCATGGACTCTTTCATAAGTTCCATGAAATCGTCTTCGGACAATCCAGGGAAAAGTACAATGTCAGTAAGTATTCTCTTTACATCCTTACTTAAACTCTTGGCTGTCTGTACACAAATGACAACTGAAATGTTAAAGTGTCTGAGCTTCTTAAGAATTCGACACATGTCTTGTTCTCTGTTCTTTAACAAAGGATGAGAAGCAAAGTCATCTAAGATAAGAAGACATCTATGAGGGTAAGTCTTCCAATCGTACGATTGCAATTTCTTCGAAATGTATTCTATCTCTTTCTGTTTGTTTCTGAAGTGTTTCTTCTCTAATATTCTCTGCATTTCCTCATTTGGGTCTTTAAACTTCGAATTTATATACTCATTTATAGCATTGTACTTCAAAACTCTTCTTTGGTACTTCTTTATCCAATCTAACAACTCAGAGTCTTTTATACATACTAACTTAGACTTCTTTATAATATCTTTGAACGAATTGACGGTTTGATCGAATTGACCAGAAGTACTACAAATGACTACTAACTCATAGAATGGGTTCTTCTCATCTAGTTCTTGTTGTTGTGCAGCCATTTTAAGATAAGTGAAAGTCTTACCCGACCCAGGTGGTGCAATTAGACCTGTTATACCATTCTGAGCAAATAAGAACTTGTCATGTATGGGTTTTATCTGAGCATTTTCCAACTTCCTCTTGTTCTTATTTAAAACATTCTCAAATTTCTTGTCAATGTCAGCAAACTTTTTTTCTAACATATTTTTAGAAAAATTAAAATTTTATCTTTTAGAAAATGTCTAGCGATTTCGCTATCTATATTCGAGACAAACTTTTCGACTCTAAAACATCTGTCGACCATAAAATCTTACATAGTGTAAACAAGAAAGGTGAATTTGTTCTAAAGTTCTGTTTCTGGGAATATGACAAGAACCATAAAACATTACAAAGAGCAGTCTTAAAATTTGTCAATGACAGACTTGTTGACAGAGATGACGCCGATTGGAAAGATGAAGTCCAACAAAAGTTCTTAGAATGCAAAGAAGGCACATGCGCTGTTCTTGAAGATGAAATAGAAAACAGAATAGAAGAGCTATTAAAGGACAAAGAACTTTTACATAAATATGGTTCGGAGAAATTTGACATAACTCCACCAGAAAAAGAAGAAGAAGAGAGAAAGGAAAGAAAAGAAAGTAGAAGAAGAGAAGAAAGAACCTGAACCAGTTCCAGAGAAAAAGAAATTTGACATGTAAAAATAAAATTTTATTTTTAGAACATTTCTGGGTCAATGTCAATGTTCTCTTCCTCTTTAGGAGCAAACACTGGCTTAGACTCTAAAATCTTTTTACCTAATTACCTTGAACTTCAACTATCTTAGACTCATAATATTCATAGTCGTCTGCTTTCTTTGGTTCATAAGGTATAACAAGTTTGTATGCTTTGCCTTCTTTAAGGTTTGAGAACCTTCTGTCAAAATTTTCTTTGACTGCTAACAAACCTTCTATGTCTAAGTCTTCAAATTTCGCACCATTTTTAGTCACAATAGCAAACTTAACAGGTTCGATGTTCCAAACTTTGTCAAATGTAGACTTTTCAAAATGGTAGAAGTAAACATTCAAATATATGAATGGGTCTAGTTCTTCTTTGACTTCTGTCATGTACTTATTTACTGAGATGAATTTCGTCATCTTTTCTATCGGATAAAAAAATATTTTTTTTTAAAACGTTTTAAAATGGTATGCCATATAGCTTCTTGAATTTGTTAAGAAGTATATGAACGTGTTTTCCATCTGTATCTCTAGTGTTTACATAAGCATAGTCATCCTTAGTAAAATATACTTGTAATTTTCTATAGTTTACACCGGTATAAAAGTAGAAAGAGTCTTGTTCTTCGCTATAGTAGTAAAACTCAAGCGTATGCTTGCCATAGTCTGTAATTTCAATTGCTTCATCTTCTAGTTCGTCGACAAATTCGAATACAATATCTCCAAATTTGCTTGTTCTTATTGTTTTCAGAAAGAGTGACCCAACGTAAATTTTCAAGTCTATTGTCGTTTCTTATACGGTTTATGTGGTCTACAAAGGTAAATTGTTAGGATTCGGTATAAAATGAGTTGCAATGACAATATGTTTAAATAGTTTTTTCCACCCATCCTCATCATAGCATATCCGTCATTTCGCTCCCATTCGCTTAAAACTCTTTTTGTCTTTTTGTTTCTGACTTCAAATGACTCACAACAGTGAATTTCATATTTCTCATCTAACAAACAAGTTTCCCAACGGTCTTCTCCAACAAACTCAGCGTACATTTCAAATAAAATAAAAAAAATATATTTTTTATTCTTGAGCTATTTTTTATTCTTGACTTTGTTGTTGCATTTGTTCCATTTGTTGCATTTGTTGTTGAAGTTGTTCTTGTAGTACAATACTTTCACCAGTTGCATCTTCCAATTCGAAACTTTCTGCCGTCATTGACAAATACATAGGACATAAAAGTTTTACAGGAACAAAGTTTGCGTCGACTAAGGTTAAGTTTATGTTTGCCAAAGTGTTTGAGTTCACTAAAGCTGAAAACTCTGCATTCGAATGAACAATAGGCAAACCAGCAGAGAATGTGTTGTTTATACGCATGAGTATCTTTTGGTCATAGTAGTTTCTGTCGATATTCGAATAGCACTTTGAACCTAAGTTTGAAACAATATATAAAATAGGTGTACTTAAAGTCAATGGAACAGACAAACCTTGTATGACACCTTTTCCTGTTATAGGAAACTGTTGGTAGTAAAAACCAGATATAAGTTTTGTATTATAGCTCATATCGTTTATACTAAACTCAGTCGGACATCCAAACATAATGAAACCTGCTCTAGTTGCAGCACATGTTACATCCGTCCTTAAAGTATTAAATAAGTCAACAAAACCTGTTGGTGGTATATCTGAGTAAGTATCTTCAAAGAAGTATTTTTTACCATTCACAACAACAAAGTCTTCTGGTGTCAAAAGAGCAAAACAGGCTTTAGTCGTCATTGTGTTTAAAGTTAGTTTACAATATCGTCCTTGAGGACTTTGTAAGTTTGTTGTTATAGAATTATATGACTCAGGGTTTTTAGTCGTAATAGTATAAACCACTATGTCTTCTGCCATTTTTACTTAGCAACTAAATTTTAATGAAATGTTGTGGTCGTCAAATATTTTTATGACGTCTGGGAAACTATATTTTAAGTTCAACGTTTCACCTCCTTTCATAACGTATATCTTGTCAATGACATTATATGAAACACCACAGCAAGCAATGTCGGGTTCTATTTCTTTGATGTTTATATCGTCTGCCTCTGTCAAAAGTTTCAATAGTTCTTTCAAAATTTCATGAGGTGCGATGACATATGAGTTCACTTTTACAGGGTTGTGTTCGACCAAGTTTAACATTATACCCAAAGCTTGACAAATCTTCTCCTGAGTTTTAAGTTTGTCTTTCAGTTGTTTGTAGTCGTTTCGAATATCTGCAACAGAACTTAAGTCTCTGCTAACTTCAGGATATGTTGGTTGTTCTTTTACAGGAACTATTGTTATACCATCTTCGTCTTCGTATGGTTTCCCCACTTCAACATCTCTTTCTTTGACATTGACAACAACACTTTGACTGTTTGTTTGAGTTGGTGAATTTAACTTCACATCTGCCACCGCCATTAAACCTTTTGAAACACTCACGCTTCTATTTTTCGGAAATGACATTTTACTTAGAATAAAAAGATGGACGTATTTGAGTATCTCTTCGAATTGAAGCAAAACAAAGTTTACACACACAAACAATACAAGTTCATTGACAGAATAGTTCTTTATACAAACAATGGAAAATGTTATAGAATAGCAGTCTTTGCTGAACCAAAATATTTTCATAAAGCAAAGAAAGTTGGTATAACCGAGATGGTGAAAGTTCTTGAAGCAGACAAAAATATAACAACAAAACTGACCGATATTTCTAAAGGAAAGTTTTTAATACAATACTATGTCAAAACTGGCGTACTGTCAATATTTGACGGAGAGAAGTCAGTTCAAGAACAACTTACTGACCTGCTGCCAAAATCTGCTCGATGGAAGCTGTCGTTATACCAATCTGAGGAGCCCCAGCAGGTTTCATCGAACGAATTTTCAAAAGAGCATCTTCCGTGAAAAGTGCTATTGTTTTGTAAACTTCTTTGCTTTCAATTCATCTGGACCGTCTCTGTCACCAGTATATTGTATTTGAACTGTACCAACAGTTGAAATACCACCCATAAAGTCTTCTGAGTCAGCAAATGGAATGCCAAGCCAAAAGTTTGAACGGTCTCCATTTGTATATTGAGTGTTTTGAGCTCCTGTATGAGTCCATACTTTCACATATGGCATAATAGAACTTTGCATTTCAGGGTTAATGGTTGTTGTGAAGTTGTTGTTAAAGTTCATAGCATCTAATGTCAAGTTGTATGACCTCATATCCTCAACTGTAGAATATTCTTCTCTTGGATAGTATTTGCCATCTATGTTTATATGGTATTTAATACCAGGGTTGTAGAAGCAAGAATAGTCATTTATAGTTCGTCTGAACAGTACAAACATAGTATCTGCATGTTTCATTGCAGTTGTTAAAGCAATATCTGTTCTTGCACCTGCGGTTCCTGGATTTTGGTTTCCAACTTCACCTGCAAAGTCTTTGACAGATATTTGGTGTATAGGGAACATAAGTGGAACTGCAATATATTTGGCAGCTAAAGCATTTGAAATATCTGGGTCCAACATATAGACTGCAAGTCTGCTTTCTATTCTCTTGCATTCAAACTTTTCGCATGTGAACTTAACTGGGTCCCAAGCATCTCCAGCAGCATTGAAATAATAGTTTACTTCAGTGTTGAGGTTTGAGAAACCAAAGTCTAAGTCAACTTTGTTTTTGCAAAAGTCGGCGAATGACATTTTATTTGTTCCCACTACTTCTGTAAGAGTGAATGGGTCTTGTGTTGGTGCAATGACTAAGTTATTTTTGCTTGGAGTAAGTTCGATAGAAATTTTTCCTGCCCAGTTTGGCAAGTATCTTAAAAACCTGAAGATGAGGAAAGATGACAAAGGAACTCTAAGTTTCAATTTTACTTTGGTTACTGCTGCTGCAGTTTGTCCAGAAAGGTTAACATAAACTCCTGGAACGTTAGGGTCAAGTCTTCTTATTTTCTCAATGGTTGCATACTGGTCTGTTTGTTCTCTAGCTTGTGGTTGTACTGAGTTTCTCAAAGCGAACCATTCATAGTTTGCCCATGTTACTGTTTGAACTAAGTCAGAGTTAGAATATATCTTATATCCCATGAAAACTTCTGGAGCATACTGGTATCCGACATAGAAAATTCCATTGCAACCTTTCTTGTCAGACAACTTGGCAGAAGGTTTTATTTCAATGTCTTGTTCCACGTATAAGAATGAGTTGTCAATAGAAATAATATGAAACCTGTCGCAAGCAATATCTACTGTTGTTGAAGAACCTTCTCCAAACTCACCTACGTTTCCATAAGAAACAGCAGTTGTATATTCGTAAGTTCCAGGAACTATTTCTGACCTTCTAATGGCATTGTCGCATTCGTTATACCATTCGGAAACATTTCCATTCATGGCATCCAAAACTGTTGGCGTTATATTCTGAGCGGCGTACATTTCATATGAGTAAAAATATAGAATAGTTGGATTTATATGTCATAATAGAACCCACTCCGACCAAGCTTTACTTTCTTCCTGACTGAGTTTTTAACTCTTCTTTTTCCTTCATTGCCCTCTGCTTGAAGTTGTTGCATCTTTGCATTATGTTCATCTAGTATGTTGCAAATTTCCCATGTCCTTTTTGCCTTTTGGCTCTGGTCGCCCATCTCAGGTAACCTATATCCTAGAAAGAGTTTGTCATAGTCTGTATTTGAGTCTTCGCGTATTGTTTGCATGACTCTTTCCTGAGTTTCCGGTTCAAGCTCTTCAAACAGTGCCTGTCCATATGGAATATGCTCGTTTCCAAATATATGTTTTTGTAGCCATTCTGGTTTTCTTTCCATGTTACCAACTATATCTTTTGTGAATGGGAAGGCTTCTACCCAATCTTTCAGTCTTGCGTCGTTTATTTCTGTAGTTGGTTTTATTTTGTCAAGGAACATGTTTTTCAATACTAACATTTCATTTGGTACTGTCCATTTGAGTTTTCTTAAATATTCATCCCTTCTCGGTTCATTGTCTGCAAAGTAAGTTTTTATGACATTTTGTAAACTTTCGTTTGCAAGGTCATGTACAATAGGTTCTCTTCCTTCTATCTCCCTAACTTTCTTTCTAAACTCTTCACCAAATATACCATCTCTATGGTTCTGTGTAGTTCTTTGAGATAAATGTTCTAGAACGTCAGGTGTTATATTTCCATCAGCCATGTTCATTTCATACTGGTCCAAAATATCTGCATCTTTCATATCTTTCAATGGCATTAAAGCCGCGCTGAAAATACCAGCTATATCTGGTTCACCATTGACTTCCATTGCGTCTACAACTTCTTGGAATTGAGGTTGTAAGTTTATGAACCACCTATCCGGGTTAGCTTTATGACCCCATCTCATTGTAGTTCCATCGTCTGCAGAAACAAAAGTAGGTTTGTTTCCATCTTGGTTAGGTTCTGAATGAACTTTAAACAATGTTTCATTTCTATATGTTTTCTTGAAATTTAACCTTTTATCTTCACCGAGTTCATCCGAAGATTGAACGTTAAATGCTCGTAAGTAAAAAGGGTTGTTGTATTTGTGTACATTTTTTTTCAGTTCTTCCATTCTATGCTGGATATTTTCATCTGATGTTGGAGTCTTTTGTATGTCGGCAAACATTTTTCGATATTCTTCTACTATGTCAGCCGAATTTTTTTTAGACTCTTGGAAATATTCCATATTCTCCGCATACTCTTGTTGAGGGTCAAGATTTTTCGGCTGTTCCAAATCTTCATCTAGTTCTGTGAAGTTAGTTTCCAAAGGAAGGACTTGTTCGTTTCCTTCAGGCTCTTCTAGCTTTTGTTGCTGAACTATTTCTTCCATGTCTGGTTGTATCTGAACTAGTTCTTCCTGTGGAGTTTCTTGTACCTCATCTGCTGGCATTTCATATATTCCGAGACCGTTTTCAACAAGTTCCCTTTCTAAGTCATCCGGACTCATAAACCTTTCTTCTTTCGTTCCGTCTCTATTTTTTACGCGTTTCATGAAGAGAGTTAAATTGTCATTTAGCTCTGACATCAAATATCTCGGAGTAAATTCGTTCATGTCATTTGGATGATATGCTATTAAATCATATCCCTTAGCGAGCTTGTATTTTCCAGGTTTGAAATTATATCCCCTTTGGTGCAGAGCCATAAAGCTAAATAGGTTCGGGTCAGTATTTCCATCCTTGAACTTTCTAATAGCTTCTTTATATCTGTCACTAAAGTCAATACTATCTGGGTAACCATAGTCTTCTTTAAGCATTTTTAAGAATTCTTGGTTTCCTTGTTCTCTACTTCTTTTATGTCCTTGCTCTGTTTGTGGTTGTTGTTGTGCTGGTTGTGGTGCAGTGTTTTGAACTGTTGGTTGTTGTGTTGGTTGTTGTGCTGGTTGTTGTGCATGCCTGTGTCTGTGTCCATGTGACGATGTAAATGTTCTAGGTAGTCCTGGTGCAGGTGCTTCTCTTGGAGGGTTTGGTGGTATATAAGTTCCACCAGCTGGCACATATGTTCCATCTGCAGCGTAATGTCCTACCTGACTTTTCGTTTTTAAGAAAGCATTTACTAGGTCTGTTTTGGTCTGTTGTAACTCTTTTTCTTGACTTTTCACAACAGTTGCTCTAACGGCGTCATAGGCACTTTGAACTGCCTGTCTCGTTGCTGCATCTGTTATTTTCGTCATATTTTGTGCTACTTCTTTTAACTCTTTGTCGAAACCTTCAGACTTCAGTTTCTTTCCAGATGAGAAGTCGTTCACTTGTTTCACCTTACTATGAAGAGCTTCGAAAGCGTTCTTAAAGTCAGCATTTGTTAAAGCTTCATTTGAACTATCTTCATCCGCTTGTATTTTTGTCCTTATTGACCCTATGAGTTGGCTGCTTTAGCGTTGGCTTGGGCATCTAACCAGTCATTGTTAGCTTTTATATATTCTGCACTTTTCATTGCCTTTTGCATGGCTGCGTCGTTATTTTTACTTTCTTGTGCTAAGTTTTCATACTGTACGGTTTGGTTTTGCAACTGTAAAAGTTTTTCTGCCTTTACATTTGCTTCAACTTCTTTTTTATACTCATCGCTATCCATATATGTCTTCAGGGCTTTTTGTTTTATCTCTTCATCTTTCAGTACTTTATATCGAGTAGTATGGTTTTTCAAATTTATGACATCTTGTTCCATTTTTGCTACTTCTGCTGCTTTTTCTGACACTTTTTTTCGCATATTCCTCTGTACTTAGTTCTTTCAGTTGTTCTTCTTTCTTCTTTTCTCTACGTTTAACTCATTGAGTTTCTTTGTGTGTCTGTCATATTCTAGTTTCTTTTCGTTTTCACTTATTTGCTTCTGTATGTCTATGTTTGACTTTTTGACATCTGTTATTTGATTTTTGAGTGAACTCAAATTCATTTGACTTTGAGGGTTATAGGCTGTTCCGTCTGCAGCTCCACCATAGCCTGCCATTTTCGCTAAAAGTGCCGCTCTTAAACCTCCACTCTGTGCACCAACAACTCGGTTTAAAAGCATAGGGTTGCTTGACATTTGTTGCAACATAGTGGGGTCATTCATCATTTGTTGTTGCAACTGTTGTTGTGGTGTCAGTTTTACTATTGGATGTTTCAATGCTCTCTTCCTCTTACGTATATTCTTACGTAGCTTACGTGGCATTTTAAGTGAAGTTAAAAAGCGGTTTTTGACAGATGTTTTATTGTGACTTCTTCGTAAAGACTTTGTTGAGATTTCTTCGTAAATGAGTGTAAATGACCCAAAAATATATTTTAGGGTAGAAGGTTAGATATAACCTCTTTTCTAACCTCTTTTCTACCCTCTTGAATTTTCATGAATTTCTTCGTAAAGACTTTGTTAAGACTTCTTCATCTAATTTCTCATGAACTTTCTTGTCTATGTTTTGTTGAGATTTCATCGTAAAGACTTTGTTGAGATTTCTTCGTAAATGACCCTAGTAGTATATTTTTGGTGTAAATTTCATGAAAATTCAAGAGGGTAGAAAAGAGGTTAGAAAAGAGGTTATATCTAACCTTCTACCCTAAACATTATTTTTGTCTGATTTTACGATGAAATCTTGACAAAACATTTACGAAGAAGTCTTGACAAAACATTTACGAAGAAATCTTGACAAAACATTTACGAAGAAGTCTTGACAAAACATTTACGAAGAAGTCTTGACAAAACATTTACGAAGAAATCTTGACAAATTCAAGAGGGTAGAAAAGAGGTTAGAAAAGAGGTTATATCTAACCTTCTACCCTAAACATTATTGTCTGATTTTACGATGAAGTTTTGACAAAGTCTTTACGATGAAGTTTTGACAAAGTCTTTACGATGAAATCTTGACAAAGTCTTTACGATGAAATCTTGACAAAGTCTTTACGATGAAATCTTGACAAAACATTTACGAAGAAGTCTTGACAAATTCAAGAGGGTAGAAAGGAGGTTAGAAAAGAGGTTATATCTAACCTTCTACCCTAAAATATATTTTTGTCTGATTTACACTCATTGACGATGAAGAAGTCTCAACAAAACATTTACGAAGAAGAAGTCTTGACAAAACATTTACGAAGAAGTCTTGACAAAACATGAAAACATATATAATTTGTGAAAAGTGAAACATTATATAATGTTTTCGACCAAGAAGACTAACAATTTTCCGAATAAAAACTTCATTTATACTAAACATCTTCAGGGCTAGAAGGCACGAAGTGCCTGGAAGCCCCACTACCTTTTTTTTTTTTTTTTTTTTTTTTTTTTTATGCCCACTCTATCATTTTGGTTTTTTTTGCAAAACGTGGTAAAATCCGTGTAAATGCTCAGATACATGTGGCCAATAATATTTGAATACTGACAGGTCCGGATATTAGGTTTAAATAGCTGATTTAATTCGAAATATGAAAAAATATGAAATCTCAATGTAATATAGTAAATTAAGAATCAGTATGAATGGTTATATGATTTTGATAAAAGAAAACTGAATGAAATAGAAAAAAAATTTGAATCTTAGAATTTGAAAGTAATGAAAGAAGAAAAAGTGGATTTAAAGGAGGTTTTATGATAAGGTATTGTCGGGTATTAGAAGTAAATATGTTGAAGAGAGATATTCAGTTAATATGAGACAAAATTAAAACAAGAATTGAAGATTGTGTATGAATGTGTCATTCTGGGAGACTTGCATAGACAATGTCTCCCACAATGACACATAGCACACAATAACAGTGCACTGTTGCACTTTGTTGACAAAAGATACACAATCAGAAGAAGATTGTGTATGAATGTGTCATTCTGGGAGACTTGCATAGACAATGTCTCCCACAATGACACATAGCACACAATAACAGTGCACTGTTGCACTTTGTTGACAAAAGATACACAATCAGAAGAAGATTGTGTATGAATGTGTCATTCTGGGAGACTTGCATAGACAATGTCTCCCACAATGACACATAGCACACAATAACAGTGCACTGTTGCACTTTGTTGACAAAAGATACACAATCAGAAGAAGATTGTGTATGAATTGTGTCATTCTGGGAGACTTGCATAGACAATGTCTTCCAGAATGAGACAATCTTCCGCAATTAGAATACGATTGCGGAACTTCGACGACAAGAGTGCATTATGCACTTTTCGTGTTTTAATTTTGTCTCATATTAATTAAATATCTCTTTCAACACGTTCACTTCTAATACCCGACAATAACCTATCATAAAACCCCTAAAGCCACTTTTTCTTCTCAATTTACTTTTAAATTCTGAGATTCAAATTTTGTTCTATTTCATTCAGTTTTCTTTTATCAAAATCATATAACCATTCATACTGATTCTTAATTTACTATATTACATTGAGATTTCATATTTTTTCATATTTCGAATTAAATCAGCTATTTAAACCTAATATCCGGACCTGTCAGTATTCAAATATTATTGGCCACATGTATCTGAGCATTTACACGGATTTTACCAAATTTTGCAAAAAATGTGTTATGAGATGGGTGTTTACCGGCAAACCCAAATTTTAGCTAAAAGTGACAGGGAAAAAAAAACGTTTAGTATTAAAAAAAAGACCGATGAGAGCTTCGTTCGAAATATAGAGGGAACTGAGAATGCGCAACCATTCTCAGGGAATATTGGATGCTATTCCCGTTCCCTCTGTATGGAAAATTGAGGTTTTCAAAGGGAGTTAAAATAATATCAAATTTATACTAATTTACTTCAAAATACAAAAGTATTTGACAGCTAAAATTAGTTACTTTAGCAAGCCTATCAATACCCTTTTACGATTATTGCTACTTTTTCGAAATAAAATAAATTTATTATCAAAAACCTTTTTTTCTTAGTAAAAATAAAAATGTTATTTTATATCAAGTTTTTATTCATAAATTTTTATAATGTTGTATAAATTTGAAGGTGGAAATCTGTAATAATTTTATCTTGAAAAGACTTGGCATTCTCAACAATGAATTGAGGGGTATTGCATCCAAATTCTGTAATTTGCGTGAGAATACTAAGCTTGATTTCCATTGGGATACTTAATTTCGAAAAATACTGGGTCATTCGTTTTTGAACCTTTGCTGCCTTGACAACTTTATCAAGTAGGTCATCTAAACCCAATTGAAGCGTATTTAAGTTTGCTGATGAGTTAACTATTAACGATTTAATTTTATCAGTGAGCATTATACATTTTTCTGTATCCAGTCTGATTGTAGACTTTTTTGGCTTTTTTTCAGATGGCAACGGATTTGGAATTTTGTCTCTGAGCCTTATATCTTGAGAAATTCTGTAATAAAATGAAGGAACGATAAAATCGATTAATTTCATCACAAATCGATCAAATCTCATGAAAATTGTTCCGCCAAAGTAGTAATATTTAATTTTTTTGTTAATCGATTCTGAAATGTTATTTGTGAGAGCTAAATTTTCATCTCTTTCAGCGGCTGTCCATCTTTCTTGGTTTGATATCCATTGATTTTGTATGTATTTTGAAAATTCTGGGAATTTTTCGGCTATTTCCAGAATTTTTTTGAACGTTGGTTCAATCCATTCTTTCTTGCCATTTCTGCCGTATGCAAGATAGTTCATTTTTGTATCTAATATCAATTTGTCTGAACTCTCAAATGCATAATCTTTCAAATTTTTTCTGAACGCCCTCATTACATGAACTGCACACCAATGAAGGATAACTTCTGGAAAAGAGTTGATAATCGCATTTTCGATTTCTTGTGCACAATCTGACATAAAATATTTTGGTTTTACTTTTGCCCAGTTAAAAAATGCCTTGAGACAGAATGCAATATTTTCTGAAGTGTTTGGATAAACGACAAATTGAAAAATTGGGAATGCATGTGTATTTGGAAATTTGGCTGATATCATGTAAAACAACATTTTAAATTCAAGTAATGAATGGGTTGCATCAATAAAATGCTCTTTCACAATTTTGATTATGTCCAGAAATTTGAAAGAAGCATAATAAAAGATTAATTTCTTTGGTTTGTTGTAATTATCGACATCGAAATAAATTAAATCTTTTGGTGACTCTTGTTCTTTGATACCCTTAAATAATTGAGTTGACTTGAATTGATTATCATCGTACTTTTGAATACCTTTGATCTTTTTATTTCCTTTTTCCTGAATTGTTTTCATTTGATCTGAAGATGCATTCAAAAAAGATGGCCTGTTAAGTGGATCATCCAGATCAAGTTTTTTGTCGCATTCAATTTGAGCCATTTTCGGATCACCCCCTGTTTTATAAAATTAATAAGTACCCGACGATAGCATTGTGATAATGTGTGGTATTTCTTTGTCTCATCTTTGATTTGATTGTGATTATGTGTTCCATTATATTCTGTTAGGATATATTCTTCATCATCCTTTAGAAATGAGATACATGCTTCACATTTATCTGCACTGCACCTGAATTTTAATTTTGTTTCCCCTAAATTTGGATTTTTTTTTTGATATGGACAACCTGCATGGCATTCGTTATCAATGACAGCTTTCATAGCATCTATATAAGATAGCCTTTCTTTAAGTTCGCATGGTGCATCGATATGCATCAAAAAAATGAAATGAAATTTCAATATCAAAAAAAGCACAAAATTTGAAAAAATTCACAAATCTCGGTTTCTGAAAGAAAATGGCCTCTTAAACTTTGTGCATATATTCATCTATAAGACACATTGTATCCATATATTATTTAGCCAACACAACTTATCTGGTATCGAGAAAATTCAAAAAAAGCACAAAATTTGAAAATTGCTCGGTTCTACATTCAAAATAAATTTCATTAATTTTTACGTACATATTAAGGTACTTATCTTCTACATATATAATCTTCATTAGATATATACATGATAAATAAAATTCATAAAACATTAAAAATCAAAAAATTAGATGAACCTTGGCAATTAAACTTTATTAAATAATAGTTGTTTATAAATTATATTATATTATCATTTAATATTATTTTGATAATGAAGATTTTATTTTGCAATAATATAAACGAAATTTTTTACCTTATGAACATTTGATGGAAATATGCAAATTTAAAATAATAAAGAAAGCCGCGAGCGAAGCGATCGGCTTAGTTCGAAGATTTTGGTTCAAATCTTTGCTGATCTGTAATTCGCGGAAGCCGCGAGCGAAGCGATCGGCTTAGGTCTAAGATTTTGATTCAAATCTTTGCTTATATTCCTTAAATTCTTTATGAAACTCGCAACAGTTCCATAAAAAATTTTAAATTCTAAACTGTCGAAATTACCGATCGGTAATCACACCCTTCACAGTGTGTCACTTTTTACAAGTGTGTCACTTTTAGCTAAAATTACCCCTACTCAAATGGCAGACGGAAATGACCCGAGTTTGGTCACTACCGCTTCTTTGAAGGGTAGAGAAACGCCAATAGAAGGTGTGCAAACAAAGCGAGCTAGTAAAGTATTGATTGAAACACCTTCAATGCCTTTTGAGACCGAATCTTATAAATTCCGACAAACAGCAACAAAGTCACAGCAACAAACATCACCAAGTCGTCGTGCACCACAAACATCATCTGGAAAAAGAATTAAGGAAGGATTATATTCAGTAAAAATGAAAAATTCAACTTGGACACACACTGATCCTGATGTTCCAGACCACTACGCAAGTCGAAAAGAAATTTTAGAAGTTCTTAACAATTTTGAATCCGCTGTAAAGTCATTAACAGGCGTTGATGACACAAAAACTGCATCGGCAATGCAAAATATCACAGATTTGCTTTTAGAACAGTTAGCATGTATGTTACGTGCTGAATGTAGAGAACAAGAACTAATCGTCGAAAAATCACGCGAATCTTACGCAGAAGTTTTCTTATTATTAAGAAAAGAAATAAACAAAAGCCATGATGAAATGGACAAACTTAAAAATCATAACGTACAATTAGAAGCTGAGTTAACTAAAGTAATCGATACTTCATCAGAGAGAGTTAACGAGATTCAATTTGATTGTGAAAGACAACTTAAAGCAAAGGATGACGAAATGGAACAACGAAAACAAGAGTACGATCTGTCAATGAAGCGTTTCCTCGAGCAGAAATCTCAATTGGAAGAGCACGTAAAGGCTTTACATCGAGTTTTCTTAGATTTCCAAAGTGATTCAGTTTACATCACTCTGGAAGATCTCAAACAAAAGCTTGCTAATACAGAAAAGAAATTACGCTACAAGGAAACAGAAATTCAAAAATTAAATGATAAAATTGACAAACACAAGAAGCAGATTCTTGATTTGCAGGCTCAGAAGACTAATTTAGACCAAGCCAATGGTGAATTACGCAGAAAACTTCAGAATGCGCTCGCATCAAAAGGAAGATTAGAACGTCAGATTGAAATCCAACAATTTGGTGAAGAAGAAGACGGAGAAAAGAAGGGAAAGCGTAATTTATCTGTAGATTCAACACCATACATCAGTGTTTTACAGAAATTAAATCAAATTTACGATAAGATCTCAGATATACTTCAAAGATCGAATGTAAATGTTCCATCACAACAGCAATACACTGATGATATCGATAAGGTTCTTCTTTCAGGTAACCCAGCATTAATGATTCAAGCTGTTGAAAAACGCGTCATTGATGTACTCCAAACCACGGAGAACCTTGATAGTGTTGATATCCATGCAGATAATGACTTTATTTACGATTCAATCCAGAATCCTCGCTTCCTACAATACGTTGCTCCACATATTGATGTTCCTTTGCCAAATACTCAGTCATCTGATTACAATCCGTTCCAAATCATGCGACAGATCTTCCAAGCTAAGTATCTACAAGACGAATGGATGAAAAGAACAGGTGGACAAGTCCAAAGATTCCCTGAATTCATCGTTTCATTTTTCACTAGAAATGATGAGTCACTTTTTGTTGCATTAACAAATGCGGCTCGATTATGGAGATGCATTTCTGATGAGAAATACAGTGAGATGAAGCTATTTAAGTCGTTTGCTCTTGAAGAATACACGTGTGATGAATTGACTTTCTTCTTAAGATGCAGATATCTTTTGTTGGGACTTCCTGGAATCGACAGCCAAGCACCAAAGAAAATAATGGTCGATATAAGTGAAATCAAAAATATGATGAATTCTGTGGTCGGCCAATATTCTCATGTAGCGCAATCTGTTATTGAAAAAGCCGAGAAACAGGCAAATAATGAGAATAGAATCGATTACGCTGAATTCATGATAATTTTCTTGGAATTCTACGAAAGAGAAAGAAGAAAACGCAGAAATGCAGTCAGATTGATGTTCCAATCCAAACAGTATATGCAAGGAAACATCAAAATTGACTTCGAAAACTTTTGTGCTTTGGTTAAATCTCTTGGTTACCAAGGTGATTCACAAACAGTTTTCGAATTGTATAGAGAAGCAACAATGGTTTCTAAAGGTGATTTGAACTTAGAATCATTGTTAACAGCTATGGATTCAATGGGATTCCACTTCTATTCAATAGAAGCACCAATAACTTTGTTACATAATACACCTGTAACTGAACTGAAAAGAAGTGATTTGTTCAAGAGATGGATAAGATTCGGAAGATGGTTCGAAGGATTCTTGAAACCATTAGGAACATTCGATACTTGGTTGCACGCCGAATTAAAACAGGCTGTAAAGAGAGTTGATAACATTTTCAAGACAAATTCGCCTGTCCCTGTAATGTTTAACGAATACAGAAAATTATTGGACTATTTCCAGTTTATGCTTGATATGCTAGCTGAAGGATCAAAGAATCCAATGACTCCTGAGAAAAGTAATAGAGAATTATTACTTATGGAGAATTTAGTTGATTTGTTAGTAACTCACGTTGTTACTGAATGCGACAAAGATTACATTTTTGAAGAATTAACAAGTTAAGATATTATTAATTTAAATTGTTTGTAAAATAATATATAAAGATATTGTTTGAGAAATTAGTTCACGTTGAAACATAATTCTTTAAGTGTTTTTATATTTGACTCTTTGGATGAAAAAATACAAGAGAACAACAAGCATGTACAGCATTTAGAATAATTTTTATGATTACTGATGATGTCCAAATATTTTAAAATTGAAAGTGATTTATTTTTTGAATTCTTGACCAAGATTGAAAGCTTTACAAAATATGTTCCACATATTTTGTAAAGCTTTCAATCTTGGTCAAGAATTACAAAATAGTTCGAAAATTGAAAATCGCTTCACTCATTCAATTTTCGCCCTATTTTATTAATTTTCGGAGATTTCAATGGATAAATCAACAGAACGGTATAACTCAAATTGGTGTATGTTTTAGTTTCAAAAAGGTCAAAATTAACTCATGATAGTAGCAATTACAGAAGGCAAATTTTATAAAAAAATAATTTTATAGATTATTTTGGCAAAAAAAAATCAAGTTATCACGTATTATATATTAGCTTCACTGTGCGCCGAGATAAGCTGATAATCAATATTTTCATCCGATCCACGAAAATACGGCAGATTTTCTTTCATCGAGGCTGATAACAAACATATTTAAAATGTACTCTGAGCTTTTTCTGAGCACGGCTCAGAAAAATGTTCAGAGTATATTGGAATACTAATATACTCTAAATTGTTTTGGGCATTACAAATTCAAAAAAATGGGACCTAAAAATTTTGAATTAAAATTCAAATTTACTTATTTGGCTTATACAAATATTTGTAATTTCTTTCAACATAGCTTAACGCAACTAGAAAAAGAATTATTCGATATTAATAGCACCATGCTCGACCAAGAAATTGACAATTTCTGTGGAATTTGCTTTGATAGCGACACTTAGATGGCATTCATTAATATTGAGAGAATTGGAAAAAACATTGATAAATATTAAAAGAATCAGAATTAGAAAAAACATTGATAAATATTAAAAGAATCAGAATTGGAAAAAACATTGATAAATATGAAAAGAATCAGAATTCGATAAAGTAATGATAAATATGAAACGAAAGCAAATGCTATAAAACAATGATAAATATGATAAGAAAGAAAATTCCATAACGTCTTTCTAAGTATTTGGCAATTTTTGGTGAATAAGATTCTATTGCAATGCTAAGAGGGCATCCATCAATATTGAGAGAATTTGACAAAATAATGATAAATATTAAAAGAAAGATAATAAGTTTCATGTTAACATCTGCACCATGTTCAACTAAGAATTTGACAATTTCTGTTGAATTTAATTTGATTGCAATGCTAAGAGGGCATTCATTAATATTGAGAGGATATCATAAAAAAATGATGAATATGAATAAAAAGAAAACTATATAAAACAATAATAAATATGAAAAGAAAGAAAATTCCATAAAACAATGATGAACATGAAAAGAAAGAAAATTCTATAAAACAATGATAAATATTAAAAGAAAGATAATAAGTTTCATGTTAACATCTGCACCATGTTCAACTAAGAATTTGACAATTTCTATTGAATTAGATTTGATTGCAATACTAAGAGGGCATCCATCAATATTGAGAGAATTTGACAAAATAATGATAAATATGAATAAAAAGAAAGTTCCATAAAACAATGATAAATACAAAAAGAAAGAGAATATCATAAAATAATGATAAATATTAAAAGAAAGATAATAAGTTTCATGTTAACATCTGCACCATGTTCAACTAAGAATTTGACAATTTCTATTGAATTAGATTTGATTGCAATACTAAGAGGGCATCCATCAATATTGAGAGAATTTGACAAAATAATGATAAATATGAATAAAAAGAAAGTTCCATAAAACAATGATAAATACAAAAAGAAAGAGAATATCATAAAATAATGATAAATATTAAAAGAAAGATAATAAGTTTCATGTTAACATCTGCACCATGTTCAACTAAGAATTTGACAATTTCTATTGAATTAGATTTGATTGCAATACTAAGAGGGCATCCATCAATATTGAGAGAATTTGACAAAATAATGATAAATATGAATAAAAAGAAAGTTCCATAAAACAATGATAAATACAAAAAGAAAGAGAATATCATAAAATAATGATAAATATTAAAAGAAAGATAATAAGTTTCATGTTAACATCTGCACCATGTTCAACTAAGAATTTGACAATTTCTATTGAATTAGATTTGATTGCAATACTAAGAGGGCATCCATCAATATTGAGAGAATTTGACAAAATAATGATAAATATGAATAAAAAGAAAGTTCCATAAAACAATGATAAATACAAAAAGAAAGAGAATATCATAAAATAATGATAAATATTAAAAGAAAGATAATAAGTTTCATGTTAACATCTGCACCATGTTCAACTAAGAATTTGACAATTTCTGTTGAATTTAATTTGATTGCAATGCTAAGAGGGCATTCATTAATATTGAGAGGATATCATAAAAAATGATGAATATGAAAAGAAAAAGATCTATATGAAATAATGATAAGTACTAATAGAAAGAGAATAAAATAAAACATTGATAAATATGAAAAGGAAGAGAATTTTATAAAACATTGATAAATATAAAAAGAAAGCAAACTAAATAAAACAATGATAAATGTGAAAATAAAGAAAATTCCATAAAACAATGATAAATATGAAATGAAAGAGAATAGGGATGCGTTAAACACGCCATTTGACCGGGCGTACATTTTTTTTGTTCGCCCAAAAATTTCGCCATTTGAGAAATTCAAAAATTAAAAATAAAATTTTAATCTTGATTTTTTTATTTTCGTGATTTTTTTGAAACTTACATAAGCGATGAAATACTTTTTTAAGTAATCGTTTATTATATATAAATATATCTTAATAAATTTAATTCCTTAAGGTAGAGCGTGTTCAAATTTAAAATCTCATACAATATTTTCTTAATGGCGTATTTTTCTGAGGTCGCCCAAATAAAGGTGAATTCAAAATTGAGAACTCCAAGGCGTATGGCGAGTATTCAAAAAGTACGCCACTTACAAAATATTGAATGTGGATTATCAATTTTTTGGCGTGTTCAATTTCAAATTTTGATATTTATGTTTATTTTATTCAGTATAGTGCTAAGAATTAAAATATAAAATTCATAGAATTTTTTCTTTGAAAATATTTTACATTTTTATTAGACCACTCCTAGACTAGTCATCAGGTTATCCTCAGATCATCCTCAGACTACTCCTTATCAGATTACTCATCATCCTCAGACTACTCCTTAGACCCCTCCTCATCAGACTACTCCTCAGATCTTCCTCATAAGACTCCTCCTCAGATCTTCCTCCTGAGACTACTCTTCAGACTACTCCTTAGAGTCCTCCTCATCAGACTAGTCCTGAGACTAGTCCTCAGACTACTCCTGAAACTACTCCTCAGATTATCCGCAGACTCCTCCTCAGATTATCCTCAAACTCCTCAGACTACTCCTCAGTCTAATCCTCAGACTCCTCCTCAGATTATCCTCAAACTCCTCCTCAGATTATCCTCAGACTCCTCCTCAGATTATGCTCAGATTATCCTCAAACTCCTCAGTCTAATCCTCAGACTCCTCCTCAGATTATGCTCAGATTATCCTCAAACTCCTCAGACTACTCCTCGGTCTAATCCTCAGACTCCTCCTCAGATTATCCTCAAACTCCTCCTCGGTCTAATCCTCAGACTCCTCCTCAGATTATCCTCAAACTCCTCCTCAGATTATCCTCAGACTCCTCCTCAGATTATCCTCAAACTCCTCCTCAGATTATCATCAAACTCCTCAAACTACTCCTCGGTCTAATCCTCAGACTCCTCCTCAGATTATCCTCAGATTATCACTTTCCATATATATATCGATAACTAAATAATTACTCATTATACTTTCTTTATTTTTTTTTAATTTTAAAATAATATTAATATATCTTTCTACGTTTAATGATGAAAAGAGAAAGAGGAGTAAAAAGAGGAAAGAGAAAAGAAAGAGAGAGAGAGAGAAAAAAAAAGAGAAAGAAAGAAAAAAAAGGACGGCGATAATTTTGTATTGTTTTGTTATTCGGCCGAATGGCGGGTACGAAGTAGCCGCCATTCGGCCCCAAAAATGGCGTATTATTCTATTTTTAAACGGTCATGGTGTAAAACCGTCGCATCCCTAAAGAGAATATAATAAAACAATGATAAATGTAAAAAGAAAGCTAACTTTATAAAACAATAACAAATATGAAAAGGAAGAGAATTATATGAGTTGTTAAAAAACGGTTATGATCGTCGTCCTACTTCTCCATTTTTTACCAGAATTTCTCACTTTGAACGATAGAACCTATGAATCGAGCCATAATTCTCATACCAAAAATTCGAGAAAAATTTTTAAATGATGTCTGTCTAATCAAACCTTAATGTTGAGAAAAGATGCGAAATCATAATCAAATTATTTGGCACAAAATCATATTTTCTTTCTTAAGAATAGTGAAGCTATAAAATTTAGCTATGTGAGAATGTGAATAGTTGTATATTTATAGAATATGAGGAAATTGCAAAATTGCGAGAATATGAGAATATAAAAATGGTAAATATGCACATTTTTGATATAATTAGAATTTAATAGAAAAATAAGTATGTGTGCAAGTGTGATATTGCATGATATTAACATACGAAGCAATGATTGAGAAAGATTTGGAGAAATTCAATGGTAAATTATAATAAAACGAGTATATAAGCCTTAGATATGTAAGGGAAAATGTTCTTAAGTAGTGGATAATTGATTTATATTTATTTTGACTAATCAACATCTGATTGAAGACTTTGTTCCTCATCTGAGGTACTTTTTGAAGTATTGTACCTCAGATGAGGAACAAAGACTCCAAATACTCTTAACAAAGATCTTTGAAGATTTCCTTCTTCAATCAACATCTGATTGTTCACTTTGTTCCTCATCTGAGGTACGCGAAGGGACATTGTACCTCAGATGAGGAATAAAGACTTGAAAGATTGTTAAAAACAATCTTTCATGTCTTTTGGCAACAATCAACATCTGATTGTTCACTTTGTTCCTCATCTGAGGTACGCGAAGGGACATTGTACCTCAGATGAGGAATAAAGACTTCATAGACTTCTTATGAGAGTCTTCGAAGACTTTCTTCTTCAATCAGAAGTTGATTGAAGACTTTGTTCCTTATCTGAGGTACACACAGAGATATTGTACATCACATGATGATATATTGTTTAAAATCACATTTTAGACAATTTATTTGGTTAAATATAAAAAAATAATTTTTAATTTAACTCAACTCATAGAATTTATTGTTCAAACCAATACGCAAACAATAATAATAACTTTCTATCGATTGAGATCATCGAAATTAGCTTGTATTTTGAAAATATAATAATAATGATAGAAAATATAAAAAAAATATGACGAGAAAATAGAAAATTTTTCGATTTTTAATTTTTCATGATAATTTATTTAGTTTGAGGAGTCGATGCTCCTCATCTGAGGTACAATGTCCCTTCGCGTACCTCAGATGAGGAACAAAGTGAACAATCAGATGTTGATTGTTGCCAAAAGACATGAAAGATTGTTTTTAACAATCTTTCAAGTCTTTATTCCTCATCTGAGGTACAATGTCCCTTCGCGTACCTCAGATGAGGAACAAAGTGAACAATCAGATGTTGATTGTCATCCAAGAACACTAAAGATTGTTCTTAAGAGTCTCTGAAGTCTCTGTTCCTCATCTGAGGTAAAATACCTCAAAAAGTACCTCAGATGAGGAACAAAGTCTTCAATTAGATATTGATTATCAACCGAATCTTAAATTCACCTTTCCTAAGACTTTTTAAGATATGGTTACATTATTAGATCATTTTATTTTCATCAAGCATTATTTCAATTTCTTTTTATTGTATTTTTAAAGAATTACATTTTCATTTCAGCAAACATAGATATATCACAGCACATTTATTATCTTCAAGTTATATATGATTGTTTCATATGGTTAGTATATGATTTCTCTGAATTTTTAACTTTGTGAATCTTTGATGATTCTTTCAACCTTGGACCGATCGACCATAATTTATGCCATATTCACACATAAGACATTCTCATTCATTCAATATATAAATTGCAGAAATTCATCCGAATCTCGAAATTTATATCTTCAATATCTGTCCGTGCTCTGAACAAGCGCATGCCATACACCGCCTCAATTAATTAGAATTTTTGATGAATTTTGTTCCACGCTATGACCACTCTATGCGAAACTCGTTTGTAAACCTCTCAAAATTTGGAAATGTAGGACGACAATTATTTTTTTTAAGAATATTTTCAGAATTATATAAAACATTAATAAATATAAAAAGAAAGCTAACTTTATAAAACAATGATAAATATGAAAAGGAAGAGAATTATATAAAACATTAATAAATATAAAAAGAAAGCTAACTTTATAAAACAATGATAAATATGAAAAGAAGAAGAATTGAATAAAGCAAAGATAAACATTAAAAGAAAGAAAATTCCGTAAAACAATGATAAATATGAAAAGAAAGAGAATGAGCTTCATGTTAACATCTGCACCATGTTCAACTAAGAATTTGACAATTTCTATTGAATTTAATTTGATTGAAATATTAAGAGGGAATTCATTAATATTGAGAGAATTACATTAAACAATGATAAACATGAAAAGAAAGAGAATTCTATAAAACAATGATAAATATGAAAAGAAAGAGAATATAATAAAACAATGATAAATATGAAAAGAAAGAAAATTCCATAAAACAATGATAAATATGAATATCTAGGGAATCCAATAAAACAATGATAAATATGAAAAGAAAGAGAATTAGATAAAATATTGATAAATATGAAAAGAAAGAGAATTCCATAGAACAATGATAAATATGAAAAGAAAGAGAATTTCATAAAACAACGATAAATATGAAAAGAAAGAGAATTACACTAAACAATGATAAATATGGAAAGAAAGAGAATGTAATAAAGCACTGATAAATATGAAAAGAAAGAGAATGCAATAAAACAATGATAAACATGAAAAGAAAGAGAATCCAATAAAACAATGATAAATATGAAAAGAAAGAGAATGCAATAAAACAATGATAAACATGAAAAGAAAGAGAATCCAATAAAACAATGATAAATATGAAAAGAAAGAAAATGTCATAAAATAATGATAAATGTAATAAGAAAGAAAATAAGTTTCATGTTAACATCTGCACCATGTTCAACTAAGAATTTGACAATTTCTGTTGAATTTAATTTGATTGCAATGCTAAGAGGGCATTCATTAATATTGAGAGGATATCATAAAAAAATGATGAATATGAATAAAAAGAAAACTATATAAAACAATAATAAATATGAAAAGAAAGAAAATTCCATAAAACAATGATAAATATGAAAAGAAAGAGAATGTAATAAAATAATGATAAATATGAGAAGAAAGAGAAATTCATAAAACAATGATAGATATTAAAAGAAAGATAATGTGATAAAACAATGATAAATATGAAAAGAAAGAGAAATTCATAAAACAATAATAAATATGAAAAGAAAGAGAAATTCATAAAACAATGATAAATATGAAAAGAAAGGTAATGCGATAAAACAATGATAAATATGAAAAGAAAGAGAATTTTATAAAACAATGATAAATATGAACAGAAGGAAACTATAAATTTTGTTGATATCTTCTCCATTAGAAAGTAAATAAGATGCAACATCATAATTTCCGAAATACATACTTTCTGCTATTGAATCAGGAGTTTGTCCAAAATTTGATTTAAGGTAGTTAGCAATTTCATAGTTATGATAATCCAATGCTGTATCAATCATGTTATCAAATGATTTACCATCTTCTATCATTTCCATAAAAATGTTTTTATTTCCGCCTTGAACAGCATATTTTTCGGAGTTATCAGTGTATTTAGCTCCTAAATTTTTCAAGTAATTGAAACACAATTCTGAGCCATATTTAATTGAACAATTAAGTGGTGTGATTTCATTAATCTCCCAATTAATATCAAGGTTTGGGAATTTACTCTTAAGATCATCAACTTTATCCCATGCAATATAGTATAAAGGAGATTCTGTTGAATATAAATTCACAATTTCTTCTTCTTCTATTTCAGGTTTGAAAATTTCAAAATTGAAACATTTATAATATAATAATGTCGCTAATTTCTCATTTTTCGGTTTGATTAGGCATGAGAATTCGTTTAATATCTTTTTGTGAAGTTCTGTAAATAATTTAATATCTTTAGCACGAATTTGTGAAAAAATATCAATCATGTGAAGTGTCATTTTGATAGGTATTTTGTTAGATTTAATAAATTCTATAATTTGTGATGAAGTTTGTAAAATATTATTGGAATTGACATTCCAAATAAGTTTTGATGCTTGACTAGGGTATTCAAATACTTCAATTGGAATGAAACAAACTTGATCATGGTTATCTTTAGCAGTTTTATTTAGAACACCTCATCAAACTAGGGTATTCAACTTGGAGTACGGCCTTGATCATCTTGATGCTTGACTAAGTATATCAATGCATAAGTTTTGATGATTATCATTACATAAATTGAGAGCTCTCTCAAAATTGAGAGGATATACAGCGGAGAGTTTTTTTTACATGAACTTCTAAATGTTCGATATGCCATATAGCTGCATAATCAAGCTATATCAAATACACCAATATTATCATTAAATTTCATTTTTTCAAAGAAAATTTAGAATTTGATTAAAATTTTTGATGGAAACTTTAATAAATTGAAAGCGACAATAGGCACAAGATTGAAAATACATGACATGACGCGCAAAATCTTTGTTTCAATAGCAATCATCTTGATTTTTCCTCTGAAATCTTATTAATTTAATGTGTCTGATATATACATTATATGACAATAACATTGATTCAATGGTTGCGCAGAATTGAGTTAAAATAACGTATACCGAAAATGTAAGAAAAATGAGTGATATCTACCAAGCTATCACTGAAGATAATGTTGAGCAGATGCAAGCATGCATTTCAGGTGGAGTTGATATTAACAAGCCGGGTGCCAATGGACTTACACCTCTAATGTTTGCCGTTCAAGAAGGAAAAGAAAAATGTTTAGGTGCTCTTATCAAAGCTAAGGCAGATGTCTAAGTTCAAGCTGCTGGAGGCCTACAGGCTATCCACTATGGTGCAATCGCCGGCCAAGATACTGCAATCCAAGCACTCATCAAAGCTGGAGCTCAAGTCAACAACCAAGATGCTGCTGGTATGACACCATTACACCACGCTGCTAAAAACAATCGTAAAAAGACATGCGAATTACTTATCAGATCAAAAGCTACAGTCAACATGCCTGATGCCGAAGGAAACACACCATTCTTAACAGCTCTTATTGCTGGTTCATCCGATGCTGTCGCTTCCTTCATTAAGGCCGATGCAACAGATTTAACAGTTCAAAACAAGAAACAACAGACACCAGCCCATTTCCTTGCTGCTATGGGCAACATTGCTATACTCAAATCTCTCGCTAAGAAAGGACTTAACTGGAACGCACAAGATGATCAAGGCCGTACTCCAGTTGAGCTCTGCGCAGATTCCGGCAATGCTCAATGCTTCGAATTTCTTCTTACAAAGCTTGGTGGCGATCCAAGTGTTACAAATGCTGCAGGAGAATCTCTTGCTCATATCATCTCAGCCAAAGGCCATGCTCCACTTCTCGGCATCCTTAAGGCTTCCGGTGGTAACGTCGATAGCGAAGATGCAAACGGCTGCCATCCAATCCAACAAGCCGCCGCATCAAATTCCGTTGCCGTTATTGAAGCATTGATCAAACTCATGGCCCAAGTCAACTGCACAGATGCAAAGGGCGATACTCCAATCCACTACGCCGCAAATAATGGCGCTGTTGAAGCCATGGAATGCCTTGTAAATTCCGGTGCAGACATTAACTCTAAAAACAAAGCCGGAGAATCAGCTTTGCACATTGCCGTCAAGAAAGGCGATTGCAAGATGATCAACGCACTTTCCGACAAGAACGTTGATGTTTCTCTCCGCGACAACAACGGAAACACAGCTCTCCATCTCGCCATTCCTTTACACAACACAGAAGTCATCAACACATTGATTGGCATTTCTGTTCCTCCAAACTCCCAGAACAACGACAACATGACAGCTCTCCACCTCGCAGCAACTCTTGGAGATGTCGAACTTGTCCAGAACCTCATCAAGGCCGGCGCCGACGTAGACATGAAGAATAATGATGGAGAAACACCACTTGAATTGGCATCAGCTTGTGGAGATGTTCCTGTTGTCAAAGCATTGATTGAAGCACGTGCAGATGTCAATTCCAAGGACGGACAAGGAATGACACCATTACACAAGGCAGTACAGAAGAACCAAGTCGAAGTCATCAAGTGCTTGAAGGAAGCCAACGCAAATATCAATGCAAAGACAGGAGATGGAGAAACACCATTAATCATAGCAACAAAGATGAAGAATGTTGATTTGATTATGATGTTAATCGATATGGGATGCGATGTAAATATCGGTGATATCAATGGAACAACACCATTACATTATGCTTGCAAGTTAGATTTAACTAAACCAGCTTTGCAACTCATAGAAAAAGGATCAGATATCATGGCAAAAGGCGAAGGAAACAATACTCCTTTGCATTTTGCTTCATTGAACATGAACAAGCAACTTGTTGAAGTTTTGATCAAGAAAGGAGCAAACGCAAGAGAAATGAATTCAGAAGGAAGAACTCCTTTGCAGGGAATTAGATTGACATTCGCCAAGTTCATGAAACAGTTGATGGGTGAAGATAAAGGTGATAAGAAGGAAGATATTAAGATTGATGTTTCAGAAGTATTGAATCAGAGTGGAGAAAAATTAGAAACACAAACAGAACTTAAAGATACATTCTGTTTGTTATGCAGAAGAAGAGCTGCAACTGCTGCTTTACTTCCTTGCGGACACCTTTGCATTTGCGATGCTTGCCAACATGAAAGACTCGCAACATTAAAGCAATGCCCAATCTGCAAGAAAGATGTATATGGAGCTTGTGCAATCTTCTGTGAAAATTAAAACTTTTTTTCTCTTTTTATTATATTATTTTATTTTTTCATGGCACGACCTTCAATTTTGTTGTTTAAAGTGTATTTTCAATGACGATTTTCGATTGGCTTTGAGATATTTGAATTAAAGTCAGATGGGCTTATGTACACCATCAAGCATGAAGCTATTATCTTATTTTTGTGTTATCATCGTAAACGAATCATTGATTCTATTTTCTCCATGAAAAAATAATTTAAAAGGGAAAATGAATTTTTGAACAAAAGAATCTTGTCATCTCGGCAACATAAAAGGGTGTTTCCTATTTGATAAGTCCATACACGAACTAAAGTATATAATGAATACATTCGCGCTGAATTAAATCATGCCTATATCCTTAAAAAATTGATTTGTATTACTCAAAAATTTTTGTGAATATTCTCAATATTTTACATATGAATTCGACTGTTTTCATTGATTCTTATGAACCTGTACTTGAACAACTCCACAAAATGAGCCTTGAAGAAGAAATGAACCAGGAGCATGCTGTTTATTTAGTTAAAATCCTTAATAGGTGCTTAAAACGAAATCCAGAAGCAGATTTTCCACATAATATATTCAAACAAGACGATTTGGTGCTACTTCTCGACTTCTGTCTTAACGAAAAATACATTGATACCGATTTTCACAAAGCTCTTTATCGAACAATATATAATGTTATTATGGAAAACCCAAGATACAATAGAAGTTCATTTATTCCTTTACTTATCGATAGATTTGATCATTTTTGCAAGTTATTCGATTCAATACCTCCAAATTCGTCAAATATGATCACAAAAATAGGTATTTTTAATTTAATGTCTAGTTTAATGCATGAAAATTCAGAGTCATTTGCACATGTTTACGAAAAATTCAATCTTGACATGGCTTATGAACTTTTTCAAAATTTTCCATGTTTTTGCAGCTATCTTTATAATTTAGTCAAGAATCCATCCATAGAATATGATGCTATGCCACAAATCGTCAGTTCTATTATAAATCACGCTATTTCTATAATTCCAAAAATTTCAATCTCATCAAAAGAAGATACAATGAAAAGAGACAGAACAATATCTAAAGACTTACGAAAAATGAATGATTGTTTACTAGCATTGAATTCTTGTACAAGATTTCCCGAAATTTTCTTCGAAGTTTTTCAAGGAATTGATATTTACGATAAATACATAAACAACATCATGCAATATAAAGATGCCTTTTCCAATGTCATAAAACTGTCAAAATCCATTCTTCAAATTAAATCAGATTTTGATTATGAAATATCAATATATGGAATAGTTTTTATGATATCATATATTCTAGAACAACTATATAATCTATACAAATGGGTAAATATTGCCGAAGATGGAATTTATTTATTAACTCTTCTATCTGAGCGAAAAATTTACAACAAACAGATAGATTCTATATGTAATCAAATGATACTTAATAAATTATTACAAGATTCAATTGAAATCGGGTGTCAGCAGCAATATCTACAATTATTATGTAATCTCGCTAAAGATGATATAAATTATACTATGGTTACTGATGAATCATCATTAAAGATCGCTATTAACTTCCTTGGAGACGACAATCCTGTTTTTGCCCTTGAATTCATTCTAATGAGAGTTCAGAAGTCAGTTTCTCAAAATAATTTTGAAGATTCATTGGATGTATTAGATGTATCTGAAAAAGAATCAATTATTGAACTTGTTGAATCAGAAGATGAAAAAATTTCAATTTTAGCTCAGAATTTATCTGATTTGATTGCCTCATATGCGTAATAAATATATTAGATTTATCTCTTATCTATAATTAACATATTTATTTATTGATATTATCTTCATCAAATTTTTAAATTTAAAACTTTCTGTATTCTGCCAATATAAATATTAAGCCCAAATAAATCAGATGTTACATGTTAATCAAGAATTATTAGGGTTATCTTGAAGTCGAAATCATATTGATGTCATAACCGTTTTCTTTCAATTTTGAATAGTTTATTTCGTCATATTAAGAAAATTCTGAGGACCTTGCGTCACAATTTACAAAGTGATTATTTTAAGGTTCGATATGTCGTTCTTGGTAATGAGAAATCTTGAGTATTTATGCATGATAGTTGATCCTTCTGCATCTCATCCTAAAATTTAAATCCCTGATAATAGTTGGCATCAATCTCTAAGAGGTATAAATATTTTTTGGCAATTTACACGTGATTTTCTCTGAAAATATTGAAGGACAACAATTAAAACGCCAATGCGGCATAAACAATCTATATTCCCCAATTATAAATTTATAAAAACTATCAATATGCAGTTTCTTTTAAAATAATTAATTACAATCATTAAGAGACATCCAGAATACTGTTACTTCATCATATTATATTATATGAACCACTGATAATGCAAAATGAATATAAAAAATGTTGTAAAAATCTATATTAATTGTGAAAAAATTGCGGTTTGAAAAATAATAATGGATCTTCAATACATTGAGCTTTTGGAGTTGAGTAAAGAATATTATGTGATTATGAATGAGTTATACAGGCTCAATACATTTAGAGAAGATGAATTAGAATATATTTTCCGGATAATCAAAAATAGATTTATCGATACGAAGATGTTCTCTCCAACTGATATTCAACAAATTATCTGTAAAGCAGCACTATACAACAATAGATACTTCACTTCGTATTTAAAAATTTTTAAAAGGATATCAGAAGTTTATAATACATACTATATTAAACCTGGAAAATTCAAGAGCAAAAATCTTCAAAATCGAGAGTGGTCAATATCAGAAATCTTTACTTTAAATGTTGCATGCCAGAAAAATAACCTTGAGTATTTATCAGAAGGAATTATTGAGAAATGTATATGCACAAATAAAATGTTTCGAATACACCAAGAAAATACCATTTTCAATAGTATAATGTATGATGATATTAAAACATTCATAGCATTTACCAAAAAAGAAAAATATATTCAATATCGGACACTAAATAGTATTTTCTACCCAAGCAGACATGAGGGATATACTATTATTGAATTATGTTGTTATCATGGTTCAGTTCGCTGTTTTAAATATTTGATATCAGAACTCAATACTAAAATAACTGATATTTGCCTTGAATTTTCTTTTTTGAGTGGAAATCCGGACATTATTAGCGAGTGCTTGAAATACAAAAAAACAAATTATAAATGCATGAAAAACGCAATAATTTCACACAACATCGATTTTGTTTGTTTTCTGATGAATGAATATCAACTCAAAATCGATTTTGTCTTGTGTATTATGTTCGATAATATTCAAGCATTTTTTGTATATTTAGATCAAACAAGAGAAATTTCAGTGTGTTTTGTTAATTTGCCATACTTTCGTCTTAAATCACTTGTTAATTATTTCATGCAGCATGGAATTGATATCAATACAGTGGTTTTGTCTGATACTGCTCTGATTAATTCAATAAAAGTGGAAAGTTTGGATTTATTAGAATATCTTGTTTTAAATGGAGCAAATATTAATACTGGATATAAATCAAGCCATTCTCCCATTCATATCGCAGCAGGTAGGGGTAATGAAGAAATCGTTCGGTTTTTAATTTCACTTGGGGCTAAAATAAAAAATAATAAAAAAATAACACCGCCACTTCTTGTTGCTGCAGGCAAAAATAAAATTAAAAATGCAAAGATACTTATATCCAATGGTGCTGATATTAATGTAAAAGATAGTGCTGATAGGAATGTTCTCTATTTGTCATTAGAAAATTCAAACGAAGAAATGACGAAATATTTTATATCATGTGGTGCAGATATTCATGCAAAAGATTTTTATGGCAATACTACACTCCATTATGCAGCAAAGAACAATTTAACTAACACAATAATATATCTTATTTCTCAAGGTTTAAATATCAATGAAAAAAATTTAGAAGGAAAAACAGCACTACATTATGCAGCAATGGGTAACTCTAAAGATGCAGTTGAATTACTTATATCACTTGATGCAAATATTCACATAAAAGACAACGACAAGAAACCAGCAATTCATTATGTAAAAATAAATAAATATAAAGAAATCATCAGAATTCTGCGATCTCATAAAAATGATCATTATGGTTTAAGACATCTTTCACTCTGCAATATAGTCTAAAATAAAATGTAAATTTTTCCAATGATAATCAAACAAATCCAGATTTTATATATCAGTAATATTCAAACGTAATAGGTGAAAAAGATTATTTTTGTCTAATATTTCAGGATTTTGAAATATCCATATCCGAATTGACAATTTTTTTAACATTTTTTCATAAAGATAAAAACATTCGCATATAGTATGATATTTATCTTATCAAATAGATATATAATAATGATAAAATTCTTCAAAAAAATGTTGTAAAAACAACTTCAAATTGAGAGGATTTTTCGGTTATTCAAAATAACAGATGAATAAAATTCAACACAATGAGCTAATAGATTTAAGTAAAGATTATTGTAACACATTTTGTGCATTGTACAGGTTAAATACACAAGATGAAGCTGAAATTGACAAAATATACAAACAAATTAAAATCAAATTAATTGATACAAAAATGTTTTTACCATCTCAGATCCTTGAGGTGATATGCAATGTAGCAAAGTTAAATAACCGATATATGAAGTCATATTGGGAATTATTCAGAAAAACAGCAGAGAATTACAAAATTCAACAAATTTTTTCTTCTACATATAATCAATCAAAATATAAGACATACGAATCATATTTAAAAGAAAGGTACATCAAATATTTCATTTGGGATGAAATATATTTTGAAAAAGAGGAAAAAACAAATGATAAAAATAAAAACATTAATTACTCATTAGATATTCATGAAAGTAATCCAATTTGCAGATCATTAGTGCTTGATGATTTAGGATCATTTATATTTTATACAGAGCAGGATGGATTTGATAAATATCAGAGAGTGAAAAGCAATTTTTATCCTTATTCATTATTGGGATATTCATTACTTGAATTATGCTGTTACTATGGTGCCATCAGATGTTTTAAGTTCCTGAGAACAAAATTTAACTCAGAAATAACAGAAAAATGCCTTCAATTTTCTTTTTTGAGCGGCGTTCCAGATATTATGAACGAGTGCCTCAAATTCCAAAGACCTTACAAGGAATGCATGGAATGCGCAATTATTTCTCATAATATCGATTTTGTTTCTTTTCTGATGAATGAATACCATTTGAAAATCGATTTGGAAGATTGTTGTAGATATCATAATCTTCAAGTATACTTAATGTATTTAGATATCACAAAAGATATCAATAATTGCTTTGTTTTATCACCATCTTTTCATTTCCCAGAACTTTGTAAATATTTAATTTCACATGGAGCAAATGTTAATGCAATAGGACATTCATCAAAAACCCATCTTTGTTATTCTGCAGTAAATAGTAGTAGAGAAACAGTTGATTATATCACTACATACGGGGTTAATTTTGTTCGAGATTATAATTATGAATGGTTTGCTATTATGGATGCTGCATGGAATAATAGCGCCGAGATTGCTGAAATCTTGATTTCTCATGGAGCCAGAATCGATTCACATGGAATTAATGAAAAAACCGCTTGTCATATTGCAATTGAAAGAAATAGTATAGAAACTATTAAAGTGTTTGTTGCTCATAAAGATCTAATCAATGATTCTACTCTTCATTTAGCATTAATATATGATAAAGAAGAGATAGCAAAATTTCTCATTTTGAACGGAATTAATATTAACACTCATGATAATAATGGAAAAACGCCACTTCATATTGTAGCTGATGGAAATAAAACAGAAATGGCAGAACTACTTATTTCTCATGGAGCAAATATCAACTTAACCGATAAAAACGACGAAACTGCTCTCCATTATGCTTTGAAATATGACAGAAAAGAAATGACAGAACTACTGATTTCCCATGGAGTTAACATCGATGCGAAAGATAAGGATGGGAAAACAGCACTTCACATTGCTGCTGAAAGAAATAATAAAGAAATAGCAGAATTTCTTATTTCGCATGGTGCAAATCTTGAAGAAACAGATAATGAAGGGAAATCAGCTCTCGATTATGCAATTAGATATGATAGAAAAGAGATAGAAAAGCTTCTAATTTCATATGGAGCAAATATCAATGCACAAGTTATAAATGGTGAATCTGCTGCAATTACAAATAGAACAAACAATGAAGGAAAAACATTTTCCCAATATTATCATAATTTCATCAATTATACTTTTTCGAATTGTATCATAATATAACGAAAGAATGAACCATTTCCAAATAATGCTATTAATCTGTAGTTAACAACAAAAAATACCTCGATATGAAAATTAATTCCAGAATTTTCATTTGATTAATCTTGAAAATCATGTTTTTTATTTTATTTTATAAAAATTTAGAAAATTTAAATCAAACAAAAAAATATTTTTTAAAATTATTTTAAGATTATTTGTAAACACTACGCGTTGGCATGAAACCAAGATCAAAGTCATCATTTCCAACATTGTGAGCTTCATTAGGATGCGGATCTGAAGCATCATTTTCAAATTTTTGGGTTTCTTCATTTTCTTCCTTTTGATGACCGAAATTTTCTGGTGGATCTCTACTTTCGACCTCAACTTCTTTCATTAATTGGTCGATTGAAGAAATTAAGAATTTTTGTAGAGAATTTACGGAATTTTCAGTCTGGTTAAGAATAGTTTCATGTGAGAAGCCTTTTTGTAAGATATTATTTGCTTTTTCTCCATTTTTAAGTAGTTCTTCTGCATTTGATTTTATTTGTTGCAATTTTCTTGCAGTTTCAAAGTATTTATTATCTTGAGCTGTAGAAATCATGTCATCAATCGATTTTATCTTCTTTTTCATCTGATAAATTGATTTTTTCAATGCTAAAAATAGAGAAATTTGATTTTGTGGTGGAGTCGTGATTATATCACTTGAGAACAAAAATCCTCCATCAGGAAGTCTAGAAGCGTAGCGATTTTTCTCTAATACATTCGATAAATGGGAAATCGAAGTAATATTAAATTTTTCAATGAGTTCTTCGTCAGATATGACTAAATCGTATGATGGCCGTACGTTTTTCATAATGTTATCACGGACAGTGCGTGAAATTTGTTCAAAATTCTGATAAAAGTTATATTCAATATTTTCATAGTCACTAGGGTCTTCGCATCTCATAGATGCAATAATTGAACTCAGTAAAGATCTTTTGATGACAAATTTCGATGACTTTTGAATAATTTTGGACTTTAATAGAGTTTTTAATGTTGGAGCAAGAGGTGGGTATATATCATTCCACATTAAGGTTTCTTCGAGCTTTGTTGCATGAAATGATACAACATTGTACCTTTTACTCCAGTCAATCAAGAATTTACTCCAAAATTGAATTTGGGCATCATAAAACTTGGGATTGCATGATCTATCAGGTATCTGACGATACATTGAAGGATATTGTTCGAGTTGAAGTGTCTCATTCAGCAATTCTTTCGCTTTAATGTATTGCATTGTGAACTGTTATTTACATGACAAAAATTTCAATGAATAGTATTCAATTCTAAAATTTTCATAAACACAAATCTATATCTAACCGTTTAATACTTTTTTAAAAAATCAAAACAATCTGATAAAAGGCACTGCCATGTAAAGTTGTCAGTTTTCAACAAACATCAAAATCCGAATCTAAAAAATTAGAATGATTTAATATTTTTACAGATAGTACAAATCAATGAATAAATTTACGATGAAATTTGACAAAACTGACTGAAGATTTGAAATGGGCGGCGCTTTATCTTCATCAGATGCAATTCCTGCTTTCTTAAGAACTCTCCTTTCTGGTGCATGTCCACCTGCTCATCCAATTTGGGCTTCGTTCAACATTACAAGTTTTAATACTTCTGAAATGACTAAAGAAGACATTTTATTGCTCCAAGAAGTTCGTGACAAGCGCCCTGACAATTTCGCTGAATTAGTACGATGTATTACCGATGCTTTTACTCGAGAAATCAAATTGGCCGAAAATGAAATCCAAAATGACTCGATGTATCTCGATTTCAGCATGTATTCCGATATGATATGCTTACTTCTTAGCATATCTGGGCTCCCACAGAAAATATCTCCATGGTTTAAAGCTCCAACTCTATATTTAAAGCAATCTCTGCCTCTTCACCAAGTTTTATTAGCGGAATTCAGACTTCTCAATATGACAGATTCGATATTTAATTGCTATTCTGATGAATTACAAGCAAATATTACTTTTGTGAAAACATTGCTCTTTGTACAACAGGCTGAAGCATTTACATACCCCGTAAAGTCAGATCCATCGCAATACTTGCTTTCTTTTGATATTTTCCCTGCCAAGGCCTTTCTTCCTGTTTTATTTGAATTTATTCCAAAAGCAATATTAACGACACGATCTGAACCGATTCTCAAATACGTCAGAGCTCTGATCACTGCTTCCATTTTACCAATCTATTGCTGCAATACTTGGAAAACTGCTCTTTCATGTGTCGAACAGAACATAATTCATAGGGCGTTCGAGCCATTACTGACATTAACAGATAATATATATCCTACAGGACTTCCAGGACGAGTTTTGGCCTGTTCAGATCAACTAATTTCGCTATTATATACTGTAATACTCAGATTCCCAACTTTTCTCAAATTTATCGACACAAACAAACTCGCACAGAAATACATAGAAGTTTTACTTCTACTTTTCAGATATAAAATGGATAATGGCTCAATTACTTTTATTCATTCAATAATTTTACTAATAATCAGCCATTTGACATCAGATTTTCACTCATTACTTACTCTGAATGATCCATTTGTTGAAACACTTCAAATTAAAGAGCAAAGACCTCACAGAGGAACATATGCAGATTTAATCATCGAAATCATCACATTTCCTTTGATAAAAGACTTCAAATCCGCATTTCCTCTTGCTCCTCTCGTAACCGCGATCATCCAAAACCTTTCTTCGACGACAGCCCACTTATCTTTCTTTAATGCGAACAGAATCTACGAAATACTCAGACTTTTCTTTAAGTCCAAGGCCGCTGAGCATCCAGAAAGCAAATTGCCAATCGCCAGGCTCTTGAATTCCATTTATCAGTTTATAAGATTCCAAACTCTTGGCAAAAAGTCAATTCTCCTCTACGGTATTGTCCACCGTGTAATTATTGACTCACTTGCAGCATCAGCTCTTCCAGAATGGCGAAAACCGGCTGAAAAAATCAAAAAACTTCTTGATGCAGCGGATGAACCTCTCAAATCAAAGGAAAAGAACGCAGATGCTGTTCTACAGAATGCTATGGCTCCGATACTGATAGAATTTGCTGATTCGCCTGTTCCTCAGACTTCATTTACGATGGGAGCCGAAGTTGAAACAATTTGGTACGATTGGTCTCGTATTTTGCTCTGGAGAGTATTCCCCGACGAAGCAGAGTTCTATCATTTGAATTTCTTGACATTCAAATCTCCAGGGAATGAAAAAGCCATTCCAAACCCTGTTCCAGAGGAATCGTTATCAACAGAGCCTGCACCAACAGAAAGCTTCGCTACTGGTATCATAAACCAAGCAGAACAACAGAAGAAAAACGAAATTGAAGAAAAAGAAGAAAGTGAACCGGAAGTACAACAATACAAGGCCATCGAACAAACGCCTGTCCAACAAAGTAGCGCACAATCAATCATTGAAGCTACAAAGCCCGCAATTTCAAAAATTCGAAATCCGAAATTGCAAATCAAAGAAGTTTCGGAGCCAGATCAGTTGCAGGCACCTGTAAAACACGCAAAGACGCTTGAAGAGCTTGATAATCCATTTGGCAGCGACGACGAAGATGAATTAGCCAAATTCTTAGAAGATTAATGTTATAAAGATATTTATGTTTTGATATACAAGATAACGTTAAGATTTATGTCTCCAAAATTTAATTTTTCACTCAAATTTTTATTTTTTTATATTATTTACAGAACTCTCTCTTCTCATCACCTTAAAACTATTGTTTTCCCTTTACTATCATAATTAATAAAACTATTAGTGTTTTTTTTTAATTCATAAAAATAAAAAAAAATAAAAAGCATTAAAGGTATTATACATCATAAAGATCCATAAACCCAAGATATTATACATCATAATGAAACGTCAAAATAGCGCAATCCCAAGATAAATTACGCAAATATTAACGATTATTACAAAGTATGGAATTTCCTATAATTAAAATCCACTAATACAGACCATTTTTTGTATTAGAATATATATCTATAAGAAATTATTTATTTAGCCTGTGCTTCGCGAATACGCTTGTAAGCAGCACGAGCTGTAAGAGCAGCTGGTGTTGTAGGTGTGTAAGCACCACCAGCAACGGCCTTACCACACTTTGTGCATGTCCAAATGCCAACAGCATTACGCTTGACAGAATCCTTGCCACAGAAGGCGCATGGGTATTTCTTGCGCTGTGAGATTTCGATCTTCTTGATTGTCTTACGGAGAGAGGCACCATAACGTACGCCGTACTTGCCACAGATACCTACTTTCTTTGTTCTACGAGCCATCGAAAAGGTCGACCATAAGTCACTTTTTAACGTTGGTCTCAATTTTGAATCGGTGGGAATTTTAGTTGCTTTATCATTCACACATTATATATAACAATTTATGAATCTAATCGTGAACTTTACAAAATTTGAAAGACAAATTTTGCTGCGCTGGCAATTAGACTCATGAATTTCATATTATGAGCCAAATTAAAAATTGTTTCACTCCATAAGACTGTAAAACGTGTCACAGCATTTTTTTTGTCCCAAAAGTGCCACAGCAAAAATTTTTACAAATCATGTCAAGTTCAGAGCAAACAAAAAATGAAGTTGGATGTGATTTTAATGACATTAAGCCAATTGAAATATTTGAATACCCTAGTCAAGCATCAAAACATATTTGGAATCTCAATTCCAATAATATTTTACAAACTTCATCACAAATTATAGAATTTATTAAATCTAACAAAATACCTATCCAAATGACACTTTACTTGATTGATATATTTTCACAAATTCGTGAAAAAGATATTAAATTATTTACAGAACTTTACGAAAAGATATTAAACGAATTCTCATGCCTAATCAAACCTGAAAATGAGAAATTAGCGATGTTATTATATTATAAATGTTTCAATTTTGAAAACTTCGAATCTGAAATGAAAGAAGAAAAAATCCTGAATTTGTATCCAACAGAATCTCCTTTATACTATATTGCATGGGATAAAGTTGATGATCTTAAGAGTAAATTCCCAAATCTTGATATTAATGAGAAGATTAATGAAATCACACCACTTGATTGTTCAATTAAATATGGTTCAGAATTGTGTTTCAATTACTTGAAAAATTTAGGAGCTAAATACACTGAATACTCCGAAATGTATGCTGTTCAAGGCGGAAATACAAACATTTTTATGGAAATGATAGAAGATGGTAAATCATTTGATAACATGATTAATACAGCATTGGATTATCATAACTATGAAATTGCTAACTACCTTAAATCAAATTTTGGACAAACTCCTGATTCAATAGCAGAAAGTATGTATTTCGGAAATTATGATGTTGCATCTTATTTACTTTCTAATGGAGAAGATATCAACAAAATTTATATTCTCTTTATTTTCACATTTTTTATTGTTTTATTCAATTCTCTTTCTTTTTGTATTTATCATTATTTTGTCAAATTCTCTCAATATTAATGAATTCCCTCTTAGTATTGCAATCAAATCGAAATCAACAGAAATTGTCAAAATCTTAGTTGAACATGGTGCAGATATTAACATGAAACTTATTCTCTTTCTTTTCATATTTATCATTATTTTATGATATTCTCTTTCTTTTTGTATTTATCATTGTTTTAGTAGTATATGTGGAAGGGTTGTGTGACTTTTTTTGTAAACGTAAGAATTCATACAATATTGAACGATTTTGTATCATTTTTTTTAACATATGAAGTAAAAAATGTATGATTCTTACGGTTTTTATTCTTACGTTTTTGAATAAATTAAGATTTAAAAAATTTTCAAAATTGTAAGACATTTACACTCAGCCCATACATATATATAATGAAAAATAAAAGAAGCCATATATAGATGATGTCAGCTATTCCACAATTAATTAAACATTGTTTAAATCATGAATGGAATCAATGGAGTCATAATCAAAGACCTCATAAACGAGAAAAAGAAATTGAAACTAAGGATTATTTGAATTTATGAAATCAATTATTTGATTCATTCTTTCTTCAATCTCTTCTATTCTTTTTGTTAAATCATCAATTTTCATTAATGAGGTGATTCTTGATTGAGGAATAGATTTCAAACTAACCACTCCTTTTATTTTTGAAATTTTGAATCCATCAACTTTAAACATTTTATTCAATTTACACGTTGTCAATTCTTCAAATAATTTTTTATTATTGGCATAATAGTCATTAAATTCTTCAATAGATGAAAAAATTTTTATTTCAGTAATTGGTTTAATAATGTTTATTTTTTGTTTATCATCTTTACTTTCATTTATTTCTTCCTCCTCTGTTTCATTTATTTTTAAAATCGGTTTCATTTATCATTAAATAAAAATTAGAATATGGCAAACGAGAGAGGGTCAAAGTTGCTATTTGTCACTTTTCCACAAGAATCTAATGGGGAAAAAGTTATCATATAGTTGATCTCATTCACTGAGGTGAGAGATGCATGTAGTGTAATGTTATAAACAGTGGGATTGCTGCTCTAAGTCCTAGGTTCGAGACACATTGGCTTCATTTTTCTCTTTTTTATTGACGTAAACTATTCAATTTTTGTGTTCTCCATTCAAATTTCAGAATTTTTTTTGCAGATTTCACGCTACATTCGAAGTTACCTTTTGTAACAACCACCACTGCCTACGAAAGACGAAAGTGTGTCACGATTTCACCCGGAAATCCGACGGTTGTTTAAGAGTATGCACTTTTGTCACCTACTCTATGGCAAACCCAAATTTTAGCTAAAAGTGACAGGGAAAAAAACGTTTAGTATTAAAAAAAAGACCGATGAGAGCTTCGTTCGAAATATAGAGGGAACTGAGAATGCGCAACCATTCTCAGGGAATATTGGATGCTATTCCCGTTCCCTCTGTATGGAAAATTGAGGTTTTCAAAGGGAGTTAAAATAAAATACAAATTTATACTAATTTACTTCAAAATACAAAAGTATTTGACAGCTAAAATTAGTTACTTTAGCAAGCCTATCAATACCCTTTTACGATTATTGTTACTTTTTCGAAATAAAAGTAAAAACAAATTTATACTAATTTACTTCAAAATACAAAAGTATTTGACAGCTAAAATTAGTTACTTTAGCAAGCCTATCAATACCCTTTTACGATTATTGCTACTTTTTCGAAATAAAATAAATTTATTATCAAAAACCTTTTTTCTTAGTAAAAATAAAAATGTTATTTTATATCAAGTTTTTATTCATAAATTTTTATAATGTTGTATAAATTTCATTAAAATTTACGTACATATTAAGGTACTTATCTTCTACATATATAATCTTCATTAGATATATACATGATAAATAAAATTCATAAAACATTAAAAATCAAAAAATTAGATGAACCTTGGCAATTAAACTTTATTAAAAAAAAAAAAAAAAAAAAAAAAGGTAGTGGGGCTTCCAGGCACTTCGTGCCTTCTAGCCCTGATGTTGATGTTTAGAATATGAGAGAGGTCCTATAAACCGGAGAAAGTGTCATATAAACATCTGTCATTTTACTCAGAATTTTCATGAAATTTACACCAAAAATATATTTTAGGGTAGAAGGGTATATCTAACCTCTTTTCTAACCTCTTTTCTACCCTCTTGAATTTTCATGAAATTTACACCAAAAATATATTTTAGGGTAGAAGGGTATATCTAACCTCTTTTCTAACCTCTTTTCTACCCTCTTGAATTTTCATGAAATTTACACCAAAAATATATTTTAGGGTAGAAGGGTATATCTAACCTCTTTTCTAACCTCTTTTCTACCCTCTTGAATTTTCATGAAATTTACACCAAAAATATATTTTAGGGTAGAAGGGTATATCTAACCTCTTTTCTAACCTCTTTTCTACCCTCTTGAATTTTCATGAAATTTACACCAAAAATATATTTTAGGGTAGAAGGGTATATCTAACCTCTTTTCTAACCTCTTTTCTACCCTCTTGAATTTTCATGAAATTTACACCAAAAATATACTACTAGGGTCATTTACGAAGAATTCTCAACAAAGTCTTTACGATGAAGTCTTGACAAAGTCTTTACGAAGAAGTCTCAACAAAGTCTTTACGAAGAAGTCTTAACAAAGTCTTTACGAAGAAGTCTCAACAAAGTCTTTACGAAGAAGTCTTAACAAAGTCTTTACGAAGAAATTCATGAAAATTCAAGAGGGTAGAAAAGAGGTTAGAAAAGAGGTTAGATATACCCTTCTACCCTAAAATATATTTTTGGGTCATTTACGAAGAAGTCTCAACAAAGTCTTTACGAAGAAGTCTCAACAAAGTCTTTACGAAGAAGTCTCAACAAAGTCTTTACGAAGAAGTCTTGACAAAACATTTACGAAGAAATTCATGAAAATTCAAGAGGGTAGAAAAGAGGTTAGAAAAGAGGTTAGATATACCCTTCTACCCTAAAATATATTTTTGGGTCATTTACACTCATTTACGAAGAAATCTCAACAAAGTCTTTACGAAGAAGTCACAATAAAACATCTGTCATTTTACTCAGAATTTTATACAGAATTCGGCAAAAATATATTTTAGGGTAGAAGGGTATATCTAACCTCTTTTCTAACCTCTTTTCTACCCAT